CCTCATTTTTTCAAAAAAATTATATATATATATATAAAGAAAATACTATAAAATATGTATAAAAATACAAAAAAAATATTATATTAATAATTAAAATTTATTTTCTATGTTAACTTACTTTAAAATTAATAATATTATTTATTTGTTGAAAAATGTACTAACAATCTTTATATTTTATATTTCTAGATAAGTTTTTGAAAATATTTATAATGGTTTACTCTTTCAGTCTTTTAATTGTAAATCGATTTGTGATATCAAAACGAGTATTTAATTAGATTGTTACATTTTCTAATGTTGATTTCTTACTTTTTTTTGTGTGATCACATATTTTTAACTTTATTTATTTTTTTCTTAACAATTGTTCAATTGGTACGCTCTCATTAATAAAAAATATTATGGAATGTGCTGTAAGAGTTCAATTTAAATAAAATTTTCAACCAAAAAACTTATTTTTCCACAACTTATAGATATTGAAGTTAAACATAAATACCTGAAATCTAACTTTTATAATTAAAATAAAAATAAAAATTGAGGGTGATAAGATTCTAAGTTTTTAAAGTTGACGGTACATATATCGATATTTATATTTTTAATAAATACATTTTATATGAAATGAGCGTTTTGACTTAAACTACAAGCTCGCTATTTAACATTTAAACTTGGACCCCCCTGAGTAAAGTTCCTGGATCCGTCAGTGCATATAAGCTTCTTGTATTCAAATAAGTTTTGTTTAGTAGGACAAATTTTTTTTTTTTTAAGAGTTTGAGCATATCTCATAAGCTTATTTGGGTAGCTTCTCGAATAAGCTCGTTGAATTTTTATTTCAGTTAGCTTATCAACTAATTTTACCAAACATTTTTATCATATAATCTAACTTTTCAGCTATAAGTCATAAACTATGTTTGAGTGTGTGTGTGTGTGAGTGTTTTGGCTTGGAAGAGAATGAGAAACGGTAAATATAACCACAACAACAATTTAGGCCCTTCTGAACCTAAACTTCTTAAAGATAAGGTTTCCTTGTCCATGTGACCCATCCAAGTTAGCCTATTATTTGAAGACAAAATCAAATAAAATTGGGCTTATTTGACATCTGCAGCAAATTCGTAAATTTGCTTATTAAACATATCAAGACATGTCTTATGTATTTTTTTTAAAAAAAATATTTATAATTAACAGTTTAACACTAATCTTCCCAATTTATTATATAAGAAATTTATAGTATAGAAATAGAATAATTAAAATATGAAAATAAAAAAAAGTATTTATAGAAAAATAATATATAAATATATGATTTAGGGATATTTGTGAAATATTAATAGTAACGGTACATTATTGGTAAATGAATAATATTATTTACTGTCAGGTTTTACCTAATTGATAATCTAACATCAATCCTCTAATAAAATGCATGTGAAAGTATAAATATATCGCTTGACATGTCGACAAAAATCCTAATCAAGAACTCTATTCGTGATTTGTTTGAATATACTCAGGCTAATATGATTTACTCATTAATTGATTTAGCAAGATATTATTATGTCACGATCCGATTGTAACAAATAATTAATAATAGAATGGAAAAGACTGCAAAACCCACTTTTTATTCTGAAAATCCGTATTTGCAGGGAAAATCACATGAAACTAATATTATATTATTATGTTCACTAGTTACTTGCCACAAAAGCATGATAATACGGTTGTCTGTCTAATCCCTTTGCTTTTGCTTAATTACAAACTCACACTCTGAAGTCTGAACAAGCTTCGTCATTTTATCTGGCAAATACCTGTCATTTGTGCAAGCCGCCCAATGCCCATAAATAATATAATAATTAATTCGTCATTTTTAATTGGATAATTTTTTTTCTAAGAAAAAGGAAGAAAAAAAACAATTAATTTTGGAATAACTGACTTTGTCCCTTGGAGACCGCGTTTGGACCTGTCCAAAATTCATGTCCACGCTACTGCCCACTCTTACTTACTTCCCAAGTAAGCAAGGAAAAACACATAATTTAGTGGATTTACATTATAGTTTCGCTAAAATTAG